GGTTTCCAAGGGGAGAAACCCCAATTCCGGAGAAAAACCCCGGGGGGTGGGGGGGGGGGGGGGGGGGGGGTGACTAGGGTGCGTGGGCGAGGGTTACCATGTTGCCGGGGATTGGTGCCCGCAATCTTCCCACATAAAATATTCGCACATGATGTACACAGATGGGGATGCTTGGGGATGCTTGCCGGCAGTGTGTATTTAAACGCCGGAAAGAGAATCACGGCACCAGTGGTGAGGGAACACTCTGGCCGTCAGGACGTCGTACAGACAAAATCAATTCCTAAACCGATGCGGCACCCCCAACAGTAGCTGTGCACGACACTGCAGAATCGATGATAACCAGGAGGTGAAAGAAAGCAGAGAGACGACACGACGACGACGACGACGACGACGGTGGCGGCGGGGGTGGGCCAAGCGATACCAGCCGCGCGCTCCCGCGCCGCTTTGCGACAAACGCTTAAAAGCTCCGAGAAAACAAGAACAGAAAGGCACACAACACACGTAGGATAAAACACACACACACACACTCCCTTGTCGGTAGAACCCTTACCCTTTGATCATAAAGTGTTCGTGTTTTTTTATCCCGCTACAGTACGAGAAGTGGCGTCTTGTCGTTGGTCAGCCGGCCAGCGCGGCCGATGCCAACAGCAAAGACACACGCAGCACACGTCAGGGTAGCGAGGTGATCGACACATTTGAGCGCACCTTCGCGTGCACATGGCCTGCCTCCTCTTGGCGTCCCGCTCGAACCCGGAGAGGTAGAGGTAGGCCCTGCTCAGGCCCTGGTGCAGCGCCACGTGCGCCGTCACGAAGCCGTCCAGAACGTAGTGCCGCAGCGCGCGTTCCGTGTGGCTCTGTGGTGGTGCGTAGAAAGAAAGAAGTCACCAAGGGCGTGTTGAGTGTTGGGGTCGGCCCGGGGGATTCGCTCTTTGCGCACGGCATTTGCTGCTTCATTGCCCCGATGATTGACCGACCGTTGTCCACCGCATCTCGTCAAAGCGGAACGCCGTCATGCTTCAAGTAGAGCAGACACCAACGCCATCTGTGTTGGAGATCTTGATATTGTCGGTCATATGCCACGTTTGAGGGGGGGGGGGGGGGGGGGGCTCAGTGACTGATTTCACGTAGCCAGTCTCGCGCCGCTACTACGTCCTCATCGAGCATGCCGCGGCTACGCCGTCCAACCACTGCGCTGCCGCCGGCACACTCCCCGACATACGCTACGGTCTCACCTTTGCTCTTTTGAAAACATCACGAACGGACTCGAAGTCGCCCGGCACACCAGCTGGGTCACACATCGGCAGCTCCCCGATCCCCAGGCTGGCAAACCCTGCCACCAACCCCTCCTCCTCTTCCTCCTCCTCCCGCGTCCGCACCTTGCAGAACTCGCCCCCCGCGCCGCCTCCCCTGCCAAGCTCCAGGTGCTTGGCCTGCAGCACCGTGATGTACAGCTTGGCCATGTGCCGGTCGACGTCCGCGCGCTGCTCTCTCCGCCGCTCTCTCTCCTCCTCCGTCCCTTCTTCCTCCTCGCGCTTCCTCTCGTTGGCTGTCGACACCTTCTCGGTCTCCCTACCCCCACCCCCTGCCCGCGTCGCCCCCCCGCTGTCACCGCCGCTCTTTGCGTTGCCCCCGTCCTCTCCCTTTTCTTCCCCTTCGTCCTTCCCCCTCGCCGGGGGCGGCGGAGGTAAGGAGGCGTTATCTTTGCCCCCTGTCGGCACTGCCGCCGCAGATCCCTCGGGCTGCAGGACTGCCTGTGTAGAGTTCAGAGGGCGGCGAAAAGGGGGCTGGTATTGTTCGGACTAACCGGCTTCCACCAGCGCTATAATAGTGCCACTAGCGCCGGACGAAGACATCCGACACGACCGCTGGAGGGTCTTGGACCAGCCAGCGCTGTGAGGAGACAGACACCGCTGGCTCGCGGGGAGTAAAGGGTGCAGCTGCAACCAACCAATTGTGAACCGAATTATACTGCGTAGTTCGGGAAAAAAATAGTAGTGGGTGTCGCTCTCTCCTAGCGCCTAGCCTGCTTCGCGAGGAGACAACGCCGCTGGGTCGCAAAACTCTAGGGAAGATCGAAAACACGTAAGGACGTTGTTTAACTCTTTTTTACGTATTCTTCGGGCCAACAGGCGGGCTAATAGGTGCTTTTTCGGGCTAATAGGTGTCTTTTCGGGCTAATAGGTCGGTCTTCTTCGGGCTAACCTGCGCCGCGAGGAGACACCTCCCGGCCCCCGTGAACCTCCCCAGGCCGGAGTAGTAGTCAGCCAGGAAGCACGCGTTGCGGCTCCACTCTCCCGGATCGAACGAGACCTTCACCCCGTCACCGCGCTGGGAGGCGTCTAGCTGTCTCTGTAGGGTAAGGGTGGGGAGGGTTGTCACATGATGATTGTCCAGGTGTTGAGGTTTCGTGTTGGCCAAGCGGCTAGGATGAGACAGAGCGCCACGCTACATCCCCGACAGAGCCGCCTTGAACTCTCCCAATACGTACATTGTTGGGGAGGGGAGGGGCGTGTACTCGTGAAAACGCATGCCGCAGTCGCTAGGCCGTTGACCTCGCATCTCTGCAACGCCGGGACGGAGCGACATGCCGCGCTTTCGCCGACCCGCGGGCTAGTGGTGAAAGGGGGTTGACCCCAGTATTTTCGTTTCCACTCGTTTCCATCCGCACCACACACAATTTGCGCGTTATTGTTGCCGCTGTTGCTCACCTTACTTCGTCTGGTAGCAGCAATCAAACACGAAGCCTTCGATACAGAGATGACGCCATCCGTTTGGTAGCAATCCATCTACCTTTGGCTCGTCCTATCTTCTACCATGTCTATTTGCCGACGGCCTGCCGCACAAGAACGAAGGCGTTTCGTCTCCGTCTTGCCTGCAAGGTGAGCGCGCAGTACTTGGCCGATTGCTCCACGTCTCGCACCCCGTAAGCCTGGGTGGGGTCCATTTCCAGGTCGTGACGCGAAAAGTGGCGGCAAACACGACGTGGGAAGCTCGACTGAGCGCCGGGTGGGCCGATTGGCAGGAAGCAGGCAACCACATGTGCAGCAGGGGCTCGACATGGAGAGATGGGCAGGAGACCGTTGAGCGGACACCATATCGGCTCGTACCGACGTCCAAAACGTACGCCGTGGTTGGCAGTTCCTACCGGCACGCACGCGCACGCACGCGGCTCCGAAGGGGGCCGATGGATGGCGAAGCAGTGGTACATACCTGCCAAGACCATCGAAAAACACATCTGCCTTACCTTGTTTCTCTCGCCCGTGCCCCTCACGAGTTAGGGTTAGGGTTAGAGATGAGTACTATTGTCTTCTCTCAACAAGCAGGAGAGCACTAGCAACAACACCCGGAGCGAGCGGTGGACACGGCACCTACTGCTGCTGCATTCGCCGTGCTTCCTCGGCATGGGATAGGCGGTCACGTTGGTCTCTTCTTCTCCTACAATAGCGCGCCGCCTCTCACACCTACCTGCGCCAGGTAGTAGAAGACGTGCGTAAGCATGCTCTCCAGCTTGCCCCTCTTCTCCTCCTCCTCGCCCACCCCGTCGCCACCAGAATCTCCCCCTTCCCCCGAACCTTCCGCCGCCGCCTCCGCTGCAGTCGGGTTGTCACCGCTACCAGCCCCCCCATCACACCCCGCCGCCACAGCTTCGCCTTCATCGTTGCCATTGCCTCCCTCATTCTCCCCCTCTCTCGCCTCGTCGCGGGCGGGTGCCGTTGACGGCGGCACCGGTGCCGACGGCGGGGGGGGAGACGAAGACGCCTGCCGCAGAAAGCCCACGGAGGCCAGCAGGTACAGGAGAGACCGCCGCGGGTAACCCCGGGCGGACCACAGGAGGCCCAGCTGCGTCAACGTGTCCGCCGCCTTCGAAACAAGTGATTTTGGACAAAAAAAAAGAACGCATTTGTCGGACGGAAGGACATCGGCGAAAAGAGGAGGTTGCCAGATAGAAGGGTAAAGGAGGGCGGCAGCTAGAAGGGGAAGAAGACGACAGGACCGAATGCATGTACAGCAGTAGTATCGTGTCGCCGGGCCGGTTGAGGGGGAGAGAGAGAGGGGCGGTCGTGAAACCGCGGTGTTTCTCAGGGGCCAGCCGATCAAAATAGGCCAGGAAGAAAAGGGGAGGGGGGAGGGCTACACGCTTTGTTGCTTGCATCACGGTGTTCGGCCAGTACCCACCCATGCATGTATCCCTCACTCTGGAAACGGAGAAACTTTCAAGCTCCTACATAGCACGAGACACCGCCAACAGTTTCTGGCGTTTTCGAGTACCGAAACCTCCTGGTCGTGATTTCTTTCCCCTCTTTCCCGTTCTGAGGGATATGAGGCGGGGACGGTTATCGATGACCCCTGCATATACTTCTTGCCTCGCTACATTTATACACTAAATAGCTGCGTGATTCTTCACACGGATTCACCCATCGAAGCACAACTACCCTATCGCACCTCTTCCGGGCACTCCCACGCCAGGGGACACGGAGAAACCATCCCCGCGGGGGGCTCTGTCGGGATCGGAGGGGGAGGAGGAGGGGGGGGGGGTGAGTCAGCATCTTTGGCAAGGTCATCGTGGCTCTCGTCCTCCTCGTTGCCGGCGGCCGCGGCGATCTTGCTCACCACCCCTTCGAAGAACGCGTCCTGCCACCACCACCACCGACGATGCGGCACAACAAAAAGAGTGCGCGCGTGTTGCTGTGTTAATGCGTCAATACATGAGCGGTCTACAGAATGTGCTCTGAGGAGAGAGAGTGAGAGAGAGAGAGAGAGAGAGAGAGAGAGAGAGAGAGAGAGAGACGTCGCACCGCCGTGAACGAACAACGGTGATGCGCATTCAAGGAAAGACCTGACGACGGCGCTAGGCGTGACCTCCGTAATCTCTCCCTCCTGCTGATGGTGCTGGTATGTCATCGTCCTGGTATACGCATTGACTGGCGTCGTTTTGACTCCGCCGCGGGGGTACAACCACAATACACCGAATGGACTTCAGTGAAACGACTCCGCACCCAAGAGTACATCCAGGTCGAAAACAGCGGTACTGTGGTACAATGATCAATGATGCCAAAAGTTGAAGTTCACAAGAAAGCGTAGCGAATCTACTCTACTGCTGTACTACTGTTGCTGTGGAACTCACGGCACACTTATCGAGCGCCTCTTGTGCAGCCGAGTTCTCCTCGACGGCCAGGGCGATCACCCCCAGACGGTAGTCGATTACGGCAACGCGACCCGCAGCTGCTGCCGCTGCCGCTGATGTCACCTGCGGCATTCGTGCGTCCAAGCAGACGTCGCCGTCATCGTGTAGCAATTTGGTGAGGATCGAGTCCCATCACATGCGGAGTCTTGATGATATGGTACTTTCCACTTCGATGTGCCATTCGTCGCCTTCGTAACGTGCTGGTATAGCAACAACCTCCGTACGTCCGAGGAAGGCGTTTTGAGCTGCGTACATTCCAGCTGTCTACGCATGATGGCGAGCAGCAGGTTTCCGGGGGTGTTGTTGCGACAGCAGTCGACATCTGAGCCGACAGAATTGTTCCACGATCTGCTGTAGACAGCATACGAAAGTTCTTGCCACCGGCTAAATAAGAACGGTGCTCTAACACCGCTCCCTTACAAGGAGAAGTGTAGCCCTGGGTGGGTGCACTTGAAGCCGTGCATTACTGCTGTACTCTTGCTGAAAACCAAACACAACGGGCATCAGGCGTGTCCATCTCCAAATGTTAAAAAAACAGCAGTATTTAGTGCCAGAGTTCCATTTTGTATTTACACAAAGAGAGAGAGACACCGAACGCTTTCGGCACGCCAATTAAGGTTCCTTTCGCGTACAGCAGTAATGCGTTGTCAGCACACATCCATATCTTTGATGCCCCCTCGTAGAGACACTCCGCAGCAGTCAGTCGTGGATATCGTCGTGCCATGCATACATAGAAGTAGCCGCACTGCTCTCCCGCGACGCACGCTAGTCCACAAACGGAGGACACAGACAGAGAGAGTCTCCGCTCACCTCCTCTGCACCACCAGCACCACCATGCTGCTGGCCGAGCTGGCCGACTAGGTTCTGCCTGGCCTTCTGGAGCGCCTCCCTGGCCTTGTACTTGGACCTGAAGGGCTCGGCAGGAGGATCCTCCACGAGGCACAGCTTTCGCGAGATCTCCATCAACGTCTTGACCTCGTCCTCGCTTTCCCGCGTGTCTTCGAACGCCGGTGCATGCTGGCATTGCGGCAACATATCGCCAACGGAGGCGCCACCGTCCATGTTTGGCGTCCGACACGGATCCTTGGTCTCTCTGTCGCTGTGTGTTGTGGTGACCAACCCGCGGCACCTGGCACCTGGATCAAGGGGGGCCGCGAGCAAGAATGTACGGGCGTTCATACCCGCCCACCAATCGTTTATTGTGAGATGTGAGGGGAGGGGGTTGCATCATCACATGAGGGGGAAGGAGTAACATGCATGTGGAACGCCTCCTCCGTATGTGTCGACTCTTGGCTACACATGCCTCTCCCGGAGGTGTAGAGGGGTCGTCTCACCGCTGCCCTCTCTAAATGTTCGGTAGGCCGGTGTCTTCCTCGTACACAGCAGTGAGAGAAGAGGTGGTCCCGATACACCGCGCGCAAGAATCCTTTTGATATTAGGTCTCTAGACTAGATATAACTGAAAGCTATATATTCCCCAACACTCACAGTGCGTTGCCCAGATATATACATTGTATGCATACCGCGATTGTTTTTGTTTGTCTATTGTCTACACCGCGGTATATCGGGACCATCACTGTTGTACGATGGTCGCTTGTGCTCGCAGTTTTCAGCAGACGTGGCTCCATTTTCCACTTTTGTGGTGTTGCCTTCGCATTGCAAAACCACTCCTGTCTCTGCTCAGTTTCAGACCAACGCCTGTTCTGAGTGAGTTGGTTTTTACGTCTATTTTGGCATCCGACAAACATCAATTCGATACAACAGGAGCAACCAAAATCCAATCAACAACAGCGAAAGTAGGACGAGCACTATTAGCACCAAGACAAGACAATACCTTTGCGAAGAGGAGCCATACTCTAAGCTGACAGCAAACAAGTGAACGAACCTACATGTCAATATCTATTTTTTAGGATCATCCAACACAACGCGAATCATAAATAAATCCACAGACGGATGGAACGCCAACCGAAACGTGTGTTTATTAGGTTCATCCAACATGTACACAACGAACGGCAGTCGAAAAACGGCGCGGAGAGTTGGGCCTGCCCATGCAACGCTTACACACATATATGGGATTCGATCACAAGGCCGGGGGCTGTTCCATGCCCTACGGTAGGGGTACGGTACGCTAAAGGGGACACGGTGTGCTTCACCGTGCGTCGACTCGAAATCTTGTCAGGTCAGGCGAAAGAAACTTCTTTTACAAGTGTAATCTACTAGTACTCCAAGCTCGAAACGCCCACACCCAAAGGTGGCGGAGGCACGACAAAGAAGATCACCCTTCCTCGTGCAACGTCGTCAAAACTTGCAATAGACCTGCTCTCGTTGGTTCCTGCGCGCAATCGCTCCAGGACGTCCGCTCGTACCGACTTCTCCACAGAGCTCTCACGCTCAATATGCGGGGTACAATACGCTAGTTAGCTCGGAATACTCTAGATACAGGCAACGGAGGAAGGACCTCGGGTCACTGCTGTCGGCGCTTCTCTTGAGCAACGGCGGTTCTAATCCCCACAGCTGTTGCCAAAGCTCTTCCATCCCTTCGTCTCTATCGTCGCCAGCCATACTATTGCCGCCATCACCGGCTTCATTTGGTCCTCCTGCTTCTGCTCTCCGCCGCCACCTCGCCCCGATGGAAAAATCATGAACTATGACTACACGAGAGAGAGAGCTATCGGCGTTTCTTTGAGCCACTCTTTTTCTTGCCGCCGCCGCCCCCGCTATTCCTCTTGCCCTTTCCACCACCACCGCCTCCTCTCCCACCATAACCGCCGCTGCCGCCGCCGCCAGCCGCTCCTTGCCCCCCTTCGCCCCCTTCCCCCCTCGCCTTCGGCGATATCGTCACCGGGAGATCTAGCCTCTTCCCGCAGAGGGCGTGGATGCCCTTGGCGAGCCACTCAACGGCGTTGCCTGGGATGCCGAGGGTGACGGGGTTGCCGCAGATCCACTCCACGACGACCCCGTCGTCCTCGCTCACCTCGAGGCACGCCAAGGCGTCCACCTAGAAGAAGAGCACCACGCGCACAGGAGAGCGGGGAACAACCAAATTGCATCAGCAGCCTTTCGCGAGGAATATGAAGCTTGGTTGTGGTAGGGGGTATGTATGGGGGGTACGGGGTTGGGTTTTATGAAACCACCCCCCCTCTCTATTTCAAGAACAAATAGTAACCTCGTGAAGGCGGTTTGGTTGCATTGGATGAGCACTTGGGAGAGTGTTTTGGGGGTTGGCTAGGTTTGTTGCTTCAAGGGTTGGCTGGTTTCATGTACGAATGGTGCCGTGCCGGCAGTCCATGCAACGGAAAACGCCCTTCCATCCTCGTCCAATAACCGCTCAGCTCTCCTTGACTACTGGTACGTACAAATCATTTGCAATTTGTTGCTGCCCGTGCGTTGCGTCAGCAACTTGCTCTTGACCGCTGTCCGTGGTTTCGATACTATAATACCACAACTTGACTCGCCTACACAACAACCGAGTGTTGCGTCGGCAAACCATCAGCACAACTTTAGTATGTAGTTTACCTACAAGTATGCATACCGAATACAAAGAACAGCACCCGAAAACAAACAACGCCCGTGCAAACATTGATCTAGCCAGTTCCTCCGTCGGATGAGGCAGCACCGCACCGCACGAAATCACTACCGCTGTCTAGTCTAGAGCTCGACTCGCACAGACAGTTATTCTGTGTGACACGAACAACACCAGCAGCAGGTAGAAGGACGTACGCCAGCACCCTCACCTGGCCACCCTTGATAGCCCCGATCGGTGCCCCGAAGGACCACTTGGATCCTACCTTCGTGTAGTCGGAGTTGCGCTTTGGTTGCCACTCCTGCGAGGAAAGACGCCGACGAAACAAGCAAAACGACTGGCTATAAGTACATTGTTGTCTCGCCGTCAGTATACTTACTACTGCTGGACGCACGAACATGTCAAGCAGAAGCCTGTGTCATATGCACAATCTGAATAGCAGTAAAAACAGTAGTAGTAGCGTGTGGCAGCGAATTCGCCACGCCGCGTCAACGACAGTTGGCACGCAGCCGTTCATCTTCTTTCCGGCAAAGTTTGCGTGCTGCCGTCTGCCAGTTAATGTAGTTACGAGGGGTTCAATTAGGGTTGGATATTGGGTATACCGGTTGTTGTTGTTATCTTCACAGCAAAAAGCGTTCCGTTCTCTCTGCCCAGCCTTCTTCTGTCCGTATTAGTCTAAACACTTGACGGGGTCGATTCCCGTGGTCACAGGCTAACTTACCCCAAAAAAGGTATTCGAAAATAAGACGAAAGCAAGCCAATGAAAGTCAACGACAGATAGTCTAGGCCACTCCGCTCGCCTCTGCACGCTACTGGTATTGCTGTATTATAGCTCACAGATGCTGAGAGAGAGAGAGAGAGAGAGAGAGAGAGATGCATCTGTTGCACAGCAGCAGCTGTCACCCAGCAAACGGCAGCACCGAGGTGGCCAACGCTAGCGCGTACGATCTAATGTATGTCCGCAATCGTACTGTAGGTCTTACGGTACCTCACCTCGCCACCATCATGCCCCTCAGTACGGCGATGAGTGCGGGAACACCTCTCGGCAAACGGTACGGAACGTGTATCATCACCCCAACATGCGATTCGGGTCTCCATGCGTACGATCACTCTCCGCTATTGCTGCTCAAAAAAAGTTGGGCACCGACACTCACCGCCATGCCTCTCAGCACCGTGAGGATGCAGGCCGCCTCCTCCTTGACCTTGGCGTCGATGGCCTCGACCGACGCGAACGACGCGATCGGCGCCCAGTCCCGCAGGAGGTCCGTGTACTCCTCGCTCGACAGCTCGCGGATCACCTCGTCCTCCGACTCGAACAGCGTCCCGATCCCCCGGGGCTCCTCCGCCTTCCTCGCGTCGTCCAGCCTAGGGAACGGCTCTCCGTCGTCCCCGTCGGGCGGTGGTTCGCTGCTACTGCTGCTGCTGCTGTCCTGCTCGTCGTCGTCGCTGGGGTAGTAGGCGCTGGTGCTAGGGTGGGGTGTGCTGGCTCTTCTCGGGTGTGGGCGCTTTGGGGGAGGCGGCGGCGGGCCGAACCCCGTTGCGTGTAGCGCTGTTCTCGAAGCAATTACTCTGTGCGCTGCCGATCTTGTTGCTGTCGCTGCTGCTGCTGCTGCGGTTGCAGTCGCCGCTGCTCCATGGTGCGCATGATGATGATGATCCTCTTGGCCCCAGCAGGAACGGTGCTGCTGCGGTTGCTGTTGAGCCGCCAGGTTGGCTACGAAACCGACGCATCCCTCCTTTCGCGTCAGAAACAAGAAGCCGAAGACCAGCCGGACGGGTATTCGCCGTCGACCCACCATGACGGACGGGTAGAGAGAAGAGAGAGAGAGATGGCGGAGGAAGGAGGCCAGCAGGCTGTCGACATACAAACACATCAAGCACAAACTTGACAAACATGCAAGGGGGATACGCGAATGGAGAACACGTGGATACCCCTACCATGAAGCGCCCACCAACCGACCATGGGTCTGTGTCCGCCCAACTGCAAGGGAAACCTCACACATACACGACGACTGGGCCATACAGACGGCCATTCGCATCGGTTCCACGCAGCTGAGGGAAACAAGAGCTGCTAGGAAGGCTCTCGGTAGAGGTGGGTCGGGTCACGTCGTCGCGCTCTGATTACGGTTGCTTTCGGACGGTATGTGTGGAATGCATTTTCCAGAAACATGAGGCCTGTGTCTGGGGGGAGAGAGAGAGGTAACCTGAACGGGCAACACCCTTGAGATGCTCGGTGTGTGCGGGAGGACACACAAGGCTTGCCCCCCACGCGTACCAAATCATGACAATTATCGAGCTGCTGCAGCAGAAAGAGCGCCTGAGACGGGATGGAATGCGTCCTGTAAGAAAGCTAAAATGCTAGCCGATTTGCATGAAACTACCGCTCGCTGTCCTCTGCAACCGTAAAACGAGAGGATACAGCAGCACAGCAGCAGCAGTGCAGCAGTAGACGCGGCGCAGCAGCAGCATAAACCTCGCGCCTGTTCTCTGTCCGAAGTTCGCGAGGCCACCTTCGTCGACCGCATGCTAGTTCCGTTTTTCCTTGTCGCTGCAGCGTTTCATGACCTTCACTGCGGTGAAAACCATCTCCTGTTGTGCAATTGATCAACAAGCTGTGTGCTCGAACTTGAAGAATGTGTGCGGCTTATACTATCTTTGTACATAGAAGTACGCTACACGACTCCATCATTGGCTTTTGCCGTTCCTCCAGAGCAATCCAAAGACGCAGCCGCCGGCGCGTGCACACCATGCTCGTTGTGGATCATGATCGAACGACTCGTCGAGCGAGACAAATCAAACCGAGTTGCAACACGTTTTCGTTTTTTTTCCTTCAGAAGCACGTCTACAGCAGCAGTATTTTAGTCATATCGAAGCTTAGCTTTGCTCGAGGCGACGCGTGTTGTCTACTAGTGCTGCGGTCGACCACATCTGATGTGGACCGACGCGCCTTCCTCCAGCGCAGCAGCTCTGACACATACCATGTGACAAGACCAAGGTCCCTTCATCAAATTGTTTGCGCGCCTCTTCGGCTTTGTTCAAAACATTCGGTGATACACAAATGTACCTTCGAAGGACGATAGCATCAAACTTGAACGACATGGTTCAGGTTTACATTGGCGTCTGTTCTGACATGTGTTCGGCCGACTGATCTGGTTGGACTACGTATTGCTGAAGGAAAATTTCAAAAGGATTGCATTATGAAGCATTCTATCCACGGCCTGGTGGCTGGTCGATTCTTCCCATCCATCCAACCTTGGTTTGGTCAGGTTGCCGCTGCCCCGTCCTCTTCCCCTTCCTCTCCTCCGAGCACCTCTCTTATCTGCCCGCTTTAATACAAGCTGCGCTTAAACCGTCCAACTCTCTGCTCTATCTGCCCGCTTTAATACAAGCTGCGCTTAAACCGTCCAACTCTCTGCTCTATCTGCCCGCTTTAGTACAAGCTGCGCCTAAACCGTTCAACTCTCTGCTCTATCTGCCCGCTTCAAAACAAGCTGCGCTTAAACCGTCCAACTCTCTGCTCTATCTGCCCGCTTTAATACAAGCTGCGCCTAAACGGTTCAACTCTCTGCTCTATCTGCCCGCTTCAAAACAAGCTGCGCTTAAACCGTCCAACCCTCTGCTCTATTTGTCCGCTTCAATACAAGCTGCGCCTACGCCGTCCCAACTCTCTGCTCTTTACCTGTCCGCTTCAATACAAGCTGCGCCTATACCGTCCGACTCTCTGCTCTGCTGTTGTTTCTTTGTTTTCTCCGTCACCAACCGCGCGCGCTCGGGGTTCCCGACAGTTGCACCAATAGAGACGACACGCATCACAGAGGATACACAATAATGCGCTTGTCGGAGACAGCGGCGACGGCGGCGTTGTGCCTGGCGGGGGCCGGCAACGTCGCGGGTTTTCAGTCACCGTGGGTGGGGGGGCGAGCGGCGGGCGGGGCCGAGCAGCGGCAGCGAGGGGTAACAACAGCAACGGAGGCGCCGCAGAGCAGGTACACAGGAGGGGGGGGGGGGGGAGGAGTGGTTGTGTTGCCGGCTTGATTTTGGAGCTCGTCAGTTGGTGGTTTGTCCCAGTTTCCCGTTGGGGGTCTGCAGTTGTGGTGCTTCGGTTTTTTTTTTTTTTGCGTGCGTTCTGTACAGCAGTGAAGTGGGAGCGGGGGAGATTTAAGCGGCGACCACGAGAACGGCAGAGGGGTGTGCACACGGCAGTCTAAGCAGCCGGGCGACCCTCCGTAAAATATGGATAATAAATGATTTTTTTTTTCCAATTCCTCCCGCCTTCGACCTCAAGATCCGGCAGCAAAAAAAAACAGCGAATTTCAGCTCTCGGTGATTTGGTTTTTTGTTTCGTTTGCGTACATCCGAAAGAACCACACACATTTCGTTTTGTTGTTTGTCTGCGTTGCGACTGAAACCGGCTTGTTCATTCTTTCCCTGTGTTTTTGTCACGTCGTCGAATCGTTAAACCTTGCGCGGCAGGCCGGGGAGGGCAGTGTCGTCGGTGTCTATGGTGGCCAACATGAACAAGACCAAGGGGAAGGGGAATAAGGGAGACGAGCTACCCAACGTCAAGGTTTCGGCCAAGGTGAGGAGCAAGAAGGGCCATGTTCTTTTGTCTCCTGGTTGCTTGCGTTGTACCCAATTGTGTGTGCGTGTGTGCCGTATGTGGTCGCTTTGTTTGTCTTGTTCTTCCAAGATTGCGGGCTAATACCGTAACAAGCTATAGCCAATATCGCCATTTGTGCAGTATTTCGTTGCCGTTGACCTTCGAGAGCGCAGAGGAGATTTTTAAGGAGGTTGACGAAGACGACGAAAAGTTCAGGTGTAAATGTGGCGCCGAGTGCGAAGGCCGGGTTCATGTAGTTGCAGGATGTACACTTTTTGAAGAGGAGAGAGAAATGTAAATGACTGAGCTAGAAAAAAGCTACAGAGAATTTGTCAAGAGGCATGGAGTAGCCAGGAGAAGACGGTATGTAACTATGACTGGGGTAATGAGAGGTGGGCTGAAGAGGCGGGAAGTGGTATCGATAGGATAGGAAAAAAAAAATGGAGCCACCTTGTCAAAGTAAGCGGGAAATATTGGCCATCGCTGACCGGTCCTGTGAGAGCAGTGCTCCGTCCTCTAGAGGACGCGTGCACAAGCTCTTACATCTACCGAACGGGAGTAATTATCCTAACGATATCGTTTTTCGGCATTGTGCCCCCCGCCTTGCCCTTCCCTTGTTTTATGACGAAAAACACCATGAAAAATCTTGCGTCATGATTTTTAAACGCCATGAAAACATGAAAATAGGACCGGCGAATGGGTTCCAAGACTGAGGCGGACAAGATGGACTCGGAGAGCTTCCCCATTCTTGAGGACCTCGAGGAAGCCGAGGACACCAACATCAAGGTACAGCAGTCGAGCAAAGTATGATCTAATTTCCATTTATCACCATGCAATTGATCACACCTGAAGGTTACAGCAGCATGGTCTATGCTTGCATATGATCACACATCAAGGCACAGCATCTTCTTGAATGCATGCATACGATCAAACACAGCAAGCAGACACGCCAAACCCGGCGCCGACAAGGAACAACAAACATATTTTTTCCAAAAAAAAAAAAAAAAAAGGTGACCCCGAACGCGTGGAAGTGGCCGGCGCTTTGGCCCTACACCCCCGACTACTTCGACCGCCCGGACGAATCGGAAGACGAGAAGACCTTCGCGACCGCCCGAATGCAGCCCTGCCTGGAGGGGGCCCCCAAGGAGGCCCTGGTGGAGCACTACGCCCGGTTCCTCACGGAGGGCGCGGAGGTCCTAGAGATCGGTGAGGGAAAAAATGGACACTGTTTTGTCTGTGGGTTGTGGGTAGAGGTTAATTCGAATGAAAGAAGAAGAAAGAGAGAAACTATTGTAATTCGTTTTGGTAAGAGTTTGTTTTTGTTCGATTCTGGTGTTTCTAGAGATCGGTTGAGGAGGAAGAAAGGGCTTGTCGTGCAAGAAGTTCCGTTGGGTGTTCGAGGTGTTGCTGTTACTGTTGTTCCTTTCGGTGTTTCTCGAGATCGGGGAGGAGGAAGAAGAAGGAAGGGCTTGTTGCACGTACTAGTTTTTTTCGTTGTTTCTCGATATGTACTCCCCAAACCCAAAAACAATAAATTAAATCAAACACCCCTATATATCTCGAACGTAACGGGCATCTGGAAAGTTAGAGTAGGGTATATGTGTTGGGGACTTGATAGGGGAATTCGAGCAAGAACACAAGCAGAAAACATCCGATTCGTGTCCGCTAAATCGGAGCAAGCAAAGCAGCAAGCAGAGGATGGCAGAGAGGACATTGATATATAGGGGTGTTTGATTTAGTTAATTGTTTTTGGGTTTGGGGAGTACTTATATCGGCGAGAAAAAGAAGGTATATTCTGCGTAAATACACACACAGCTGTATCGTTTTGCTGGGTCCTCCTTCTTTTTTTTTTCGTTCGAAATGGTTTTGAGAGGTTATTATCACCACGGAAGGCGTCTCCGTCAGTTGGACCAGTACCAGTGTTAGAAGGGTACAGCACTATGCAGAGGCCGGAAAGGGGTTTTTGATGTGAAAACGACAGCGACAACGTGTTGCGCCGTGACAGACGAAACCCTGACTGCCAAGACGTGTGGTATCACGTACGTGTCTGCATGTGGTGGATAGCGCGTGTTATTGTGTATCGTTTCGCTTCTGTCGGAGCAGTCGCGCACGTGCCCGGCCGGTGGTGTCGTCAACGAAGTGTCTCTGGCGTTGTTGCGAGGAAGGGTGCTTCTGCCGCTGTTGTTGGTTGTGAGGTGTGTCTTAACGTTGTCTTCAGGCCTGCGGGTTGGTTCCCTTGCTGTGGTCTCATCTCTTTGCGCGTGTCATTTTTTTTTTGTTTTGCTCAACAAAGCACAACAAAATATTCATCTCTTTCACAGACAACAACAAGAGTCCGGGATAGATTTAGCAATGAATCCATGGCGTTGAGTGATGACCGACCTACGCTTCCCGGTGCCTGTTGTGTTCCTGTTGTGTTCTTGATGATGGTTGGTGTGTCGAAACGAAAAGGCGCATCCGTGGCGTCGTACCTCCCGGAGGACTTGTCCTTCTCCAAGGTTGTCGGCGTCGGCATGAACGACGAGGAAATGAAGTCGAACCCTCGCCTCACGGACACCCTCGTGCAGAACCTCAACAGCAAGGTGGGTGGATGTCTACTACTTGTACTACTTGAAGACTACACGTCAAGGAAGATAATGTGGTGTGGTAGGGTTGCGCGACGGCTGTGTGCTAGCGGAGCCCCCCCCCCCCCCCCCCCCCCCCCCCCC